ATATAAAAAATGTGGTTCTGAAATCGAGACAATTAATCATGCGTTTTTTTGAATGTACGCATTCGAGGCGAATTTGGGATTTATCTACAATTCCAATGCTCCGAGGAGGTTTTCCTTATAACTCGAGATTCGCGAATCTGGACTTCATTTTTTGGAGTGTGATTCCTTGATTGCGAGCATTTATTTCCATGGATTTTGTGGTTTATATGGAAAGATAGAAATAAAAAGGTTTTCCAAGGAATTCAGTCAGAACCGTTTGACATTATAAATCAGGCGTTAAGTGAACAATTATTATGGGAAGAGGCACAAACTATTCCGACTGAAGCAATTACACCATTAGATTCTATACCTACTCCTTCGCTAATCCTTCAATGTCGAATTGATGGTTTGTGGAAGTCAGGGAATACGTTTGCAGGCTTGGGGTGGTGGTGTTTCAGAGGAGAGGAACAAACATATCTACTAGGCGCTAAGTGTTTTAGCGGATGCCCTTCACCACTTCATTCAGAATTGGAAGCGCTAATATGGGCTATGGAGAGTATTCATATAAGAAGGATTGACTGTCATACTTTTGAATCAGATTGTGCCGAGCTTATCGCAATGGTACAAGACCCGCAAGAGTGGCCAACATTCTCCAACCTCTTAGACGATTTTCTTCTATTACGTGTATCATTTCCATCGTTTTCTTTAACTAAGATTCCCGTGACTGTAATTCAAAAGCAGATTGTCTTGCTCGTTTTTCCAGATCTCTTGATTCGAAAGTTACTTTTGTAAACAACTTTCCTCCTATTTGGGCTACCAATCATGGAGTAATATTTTAAGAAATGTATGGTTGATATAAAAAAACTCTTGAAAGGAAAAAATGGTTTAATCTTGAAACTAAAATATTTTGGGTCATTTTTATTTGGGAAGAGATGAATGCAGAAAATAGTCAATATGTTTTTTTGAACTTTATTTCACGAATTATAGAAATACATACGGGATAAAGAGGTACAATTAACCAATCCTCTCGGATTGTCAACATTACACCGTTAAATGGTTAATTAACACCGTTTTGAGAAATGTTTAGATCAGCTGATTTCATAGAATTGAGGTTAAAAATTTAAATTTTTAGTAGGTTCAACTGTTCAAGTTGGTAACTGTGTTATATCGAGTATGAAAATGCTGTCTACAAATAGTTTAGGCTGATATTGGTCCATTTTCCGGTATTTCAACATCAGTTTTTCGCATCAACATGGCCAATGTAACCAAACTCACCGCTTCCAACTACATCATGTGAAGTCGTCAAGTCCATGCTCTTCTCCAAGGGTATGGCATTTCTCACCATCTCGACGCCACTGCTGAAGTTCCTGCCAAACACGTGACCAATGATAACGTTTTCTCTTCAACCCCTGTTTTTGAAGCCTGGAATAGACAGGACCAGCTGATCTACAGTGCACTCATCGGTGCTCTGTCTCTCTCTGTGCAGCCAACGGTGTCGCGTGCTACAACTGCTGATGAAGTTTGGTCTACGCTCGCCGGTATGTACGCCAAGCCGAGTCGTGGTCACATCAAACAACTTCAACATCAAGTCAAGCAATGGACAAAAAGAACTTGTACCATCGATGAGTATGTCCAAGGTCTCACCAACCTCTTTGATCAACTTGCTCTTCTTGAAAAAGTCCTTGACCATGAAGATCAAGTTAATTACCTCCTTGGCGGCCTCTCCAAAGATTACAAATCTGTTGTTGATCAAATGGAAGGTCGTGATGTTGCTCCAAGCCTTACCGAGATCCATGAGAAGCTGCTCAATCATGAAGCAAAACTCATCACTGTTTCGGCACCTGCAACGTTTCCCATCACGGCAAATTACGTCAACAATCGTCCTTAGAACAAGTCACCAAGAATAACCAAAACCAGTCGCAACAGTGAGGGTCTCAGATTGCTTCTCATGGCTAAGAAACTCGCACTCCTCGTCCATACCTTGGAAAGTCTCAGATCTGTGGCACACAGGGTCACTCTGCAAAGCGCTGCAATCAACTTCAGTCCTTTGTCCGACAGTCGTCTACTTACCCAGCCTTGCTCCCAACTCCACCGTATCTAAAATAAAAGTCACAAGTTACCTCCCAAACATCTATTTCTTCTTCTCGTCCACTTGAAATTCTCTTTACAGATGTATGGACGTCTCCTATTCTCTCCATTGAGAATTATAAATAATATCTTCTTATTGTCGATCATTATACTTGGTTTTACCCCCTTAAACTAAAATCCCATGTCAAAGACACCTTCATTCGTTTTAAAGCTCTTGTTGAAAACAAATTTCAAACCAAAATTGGCACTTTTTTCTCCGATAATGGCGGTGAATACATTGCTCTTCGTGATTTTCTCTCTCTAAATGGCATCACTCACCTCACTACTCCACCTCACACCCCAGAACACAATGGCCTCTCTGGAAGACGCCATCGTCACATTGTCGAAACTAGTTTATCTCTTCTCGCTCAGGCATCGATATTGTCGACGTATTGGTCGTATGCCCTTTCCGCTGATGTTTATTTTATTAATAGAATGCCAAGTCCTATTCTCTCTCTTCATTCTCCTTATCAATTACTTTTTAACTAAATACCCAATTATCTCAAACTCAAAACCGTCGGCTGTCTCCATTTTCTGTGGCTTCGCCCCTACTCTTCCACTAAACTTGAACCAAAATCATCTCCATGTGTTTTTCTTGGCTATTCATTAACCCAAAGTGCTTATCTCTGTCTTCAATCTCAAACAAACAGAATATATGTCTCTCGTCATGTTCGTTTTGATGAAACATTCTTCGCGTTTTCTTCTCTTGTCTCCTCAAGTCGTAATTTCTCTACCCCTGCCACTGAAATTTTCCAACCCTCCACACCTCATCCAGTGTCACTCATACATAGTCATCCGCCGTCTTTGCCTCCCATGTCCTCGTTTTCGGGTCCCTCTTCCTCTTTGTCGCTGGCGTCGTCTCCGTCTCAGTTGCCGACATAGTAATCGGACTCCTCTACACAGGCCTCCAATGGCAATTCGGCCCAACTCGATGACTCTTTGCGTTTTAATAATTCGGCCTATCACAATGGCAATTCGGCCTATCACAGTTCATCAGTGCAACATATTCAGCCCAACTCAGTTTATCAAACTCGTCCCAATCACCTTCATCTTTCTCATATCGTTATGCTCCCTCCGATGGTGATACACCGTCCACACAATAATCTGATCCGCCACTGTTGCCTTCGCCTCCTCCGTCGCCACCTGCGCCTCCACAACACTCAATGGAGACTCGGCTAAAAGCAGGCATCGTGAAACCAAATCACAAATTCTCGTTCGCAACTACACTTGCGGCGACCGATCTTGAGCCTCGAACAGTCAATCAAGCCGTCAAAGATTAACGTTGGCGCAATTCCATGTCTGATGAATTCAACGCTCAACTCATTAACCACACATGGAACTTAGTCCCTCCGCCATCTCCAACAGTGAACATCTCGGTTGTAAGTGGGTCTATCGAACCAGTTTCATGCTGATGGGTCTGTTCACAAATACAAATCTCGGCTTGTTGCTAAAGGTTATACCCAGCAAGCTGGCCTTGACTACAATGAGACATTCAGCCCCATCATTAAATCCACTACAATCAGAGTTGTTCTCGACATTTCCGTTAAGATGGATTGGCCAGTTCGTCAGCTCGATGTCAACAACGCTTTCCTATAAGGCATGCTCACGGAAGATCTCTACATGCATCAACCTCCGAGATTCATTGACAAAGACAAACCACTCTTTGTTTTTCATCTCAAGAAAGTGTTATACGGCCTCAAACAAGCTATAAGGGCATGGTATATGGAGCTTAAAACATTTATGTTGTCAACTGGATTCTACATGTTGATTTATGTTGATGACATTCTTGATACTGGCAGTGACAATGCTCTCATTCAAGACACCCTCTCGGCACTTGCTCACCGTTTCTCTGTCAAGGACCATGAGGAACTATCATATTTTCTTGGTATTGAAGCAAAACGTGTTCCAACCGGCCTTCACCTCTCTCAGCGTCGGTACATACTTGATCTTCTCACTCGACACAACATGCTCCATGCCAAACCGGTTGCAACTCCAATGGCTGGTTCTCCAAAGCTCACTTTACACTCAGGGACGAGAATATCTGATGCCATTGAGTTTCGCCGTAATGTGGGTAGTCTCTAATACTTGGCCTTCACACGGCCAGACATTTTATATGCAGTGAACCGGCTTTCTCAATTTATGCATTCTCCCACATCCGATCATTGGCAAGCAGCGAAACGGATTCTTCGCTACCTTGCTGGCACTCCCAACACATGGGATCTTCCTTAGTCGCACAACCCCTTTGTCTCTCCATACGTACTCGGACTCGGACAGGGCTGGAGACACGCACGACTATGTCTCCACCAACGCATATGTCGTCTACCTCGGTCGGAATCCCATCTCTTGGTCTTCCAAAAAGCAAAAGGGAGTTGCTCGTTCATCAACTGAGGTCGCACTGTATCCAATGCATCGTCTGAGCTCTCATGGATCAGTTCTTTTCTTACGGAGCTTGGTATTCGTATTTTCACACCACCGGTCATCTATTTTGACAATATTGGTGCCAAATATCTGTGTGAAACCCAGTATTTCATTCAAGAATGAAGCATATTGCTTTGTAATTATCATTTTATCTTGAACCAGATACAAGTAGGGCAACTTCGATTCAAGCATATTTCCATTAAGGATCAGCTCGCCGACACACTTACCAAACCGCTTTCCCGCGCAACATTCTCATATTTTGTTAACAAGATTGGAGTTTTGAAGAACCCTCCATCTTGAGGGGGCGTATCAAGGATCAATAAGCGATATCATTACCAATCAACGATATCATTATTCTGTCATATATTCTATTTATGTTAAGAGTATATTTTGTAATTAGAACTCTCTGGAATGTATAAGATGTATATATCTTGTAAATGATAGCAATAAAAATCATCCTTTCATAATACAATTCTCTATATAGTGTTCAATGCTTCTTTGTTGCTTTCCATACCCTTGTCCGTCGAATCTGTTATACCTTCCTGTTTCTTGCCATCTTCCTCATGTTTCTTCAGATCATTAACCTTTTTCTCCAAAGAATGATGGACTCCTACCCTTCCCAACGCAAGAAATGGTGCTGCTAGAACCGCAAAGGGTGCAGACACACCCACTGCAACAGCCATGACAACTAGTGATACAACGACAACAAGAGCAATCCCAGCGCCGAAAACCACGTTCCAAAATTTACTGATGTGATGTGCCTCGTCAAGATTGTTTTTCGACTCATATTGTTCCTCATCAATCTTTTTTTAGCCTCACACGGTTTCTCAAGAAGAGATTCATGCTGCTTTTGGATCAACTCGAACTGATTTGTGATCACTTGGCCATCGAAAACATCTTTCATGTCATTAACCTTCTTGAGATCCTTCAAGGTTTTTTCATATCTCTTCTTTTTTCCACATGCCGACTCTTTGTCAAACTGTGCCATGGTCTCTTGAATATAAAGTTGGCCCATTTCTACTTTATCCACGAAATCCGTTATGTTATTGAGAATAATAGTCTTCATGGTATTTTCAAAATAGGCCTGGACCAAAGATCTTAAAGCTTTGTTCTTCCACACATCAAAAACCAAAATAACAACATTATTTCACGGAAAAAATACGAGGAATTTATCAACCGATCTTCTCAGATGGTCAATGTTACAAAATAAAATAAAAAGGTACAAATCAACCAATCTTCTTGGATAGTTCACGTTACAAAGCAAAATAGAAAGGTACAATATGGGTTGTATATAAACCCAATTATTGAAACATAGAAAATATGGGAACTCATGAGTGACTCTTGAACAACAAATATCAATAATGTTTAACCGCGATGATATTTTCCAGAACCGTTGATCTTTTCAAGAACGTGAAATCTCGCCTCAAGGATTAGTTTGCTATGACTATCCACAGTTTCACCAACCTCCTTGATTTTCTCTGTTAGTTTCATTACTTTCTCCCTGATTAAGTGAAGGGCAAGTTTCATATCCACCTCATCTCCTTCATTCTCAATCGCATCATCCACATCTTTCATAATGGACAAGATCTTTTTCTCTAGCTGGTGGGCTATTTCAGATACACTCTTCACAGCTTCTCCATTGGTTTCTATGCCAATACCCACTATCGTCAAAGTTTCTTCTAGTTTCTTCAGTTCATCCATCCGTTTCTCTAATAGAAAGTGAGTGATTGACCATCCCACCGCCATCATTGGTAATGATTGAAACCCCGCAATGGCTAAAGGTATACCCACGCCTGTTATCAGTAGAGCTACCGAACCAATCAAAGTACCAAAAAATGCAGCGCCGAAAACCGCATGTGAAATCATACTCTCTGCTTTTAGGTTAGCATATTCGTCATGAAACTTTGTTTTAGCTTCACTCACATCCTGAAGAAGGGATTCTTGCTGCTTTTTGATCAATTCGAACTGAATCATGAGCTCGCCGCAATCGAAAGTATCTCCCATGGCTTTGAACTTGTTCAGATTCTTCAAGGTTTTTTCATACCTCTTCTTTTTTCCACCAAGATCCTTTTCTGCCGACTCTTTGTCAAACTGCGCCACGGCTTCTTGAATGTAAAGTTGGCCCATTTCTGCTTTCTCCACGTAATCCATTACATTATCGAAAATCTCTAAAGTCTTGATAGTATTGTCGAAATAGGCTTGGACCAAAGATCTTAGAGCTTTGTTCTCCCACACATCGTTTTCGCCTTCAAGAATGAAGTTTGCCACACCTTGGCTAACTTCTAGTAGGTTCTTGGAGATCTCCATGTGTACGGCATGTTGGGACAACAATCCAGTCTTGGGGTCCGGGCTAAGTGAGTCTATCATTTTGATGCTTTTATGCTGAAGCGAAGAATCAAAGGCTTTGAGTTCTGGGTGGTCTTCACAAGCGGATTT